AAAAATATAATTACTTTTAAAAAGTCTCTTTCCTCCTCCATCAACAGGATCTGTCTTCCTTTGTAGATCACAGAGTTAAGTAAACTTGCGTATTCAAATTGGCCTCTAAACTATGCCTCTGAAAATTACTTCCAAACTAAAATCTTTTATTAAACAAACTGGCTTAAATAAGCCTGCCAAATACTGCTTAAGACCTGCACATGAGCTTCACAGTTTGAATCCTAGACCAGTTATTCCACCTGTGGCAGAAGACCACCAGTAGGCTGTAAGACATAGGACAGACCACGCGAGTGCCTCTCAGTTCCTGCCACCTGTTACAAAACTCAACTGACTATTCAGATGTCTGTAATGATAGCAGTGAAATTATGATTTGGTAATGGAAGAACTAGTTTTTTCTTCAGCTAAGAAGAAACTTATTTCATACCCTCCCTGCTAAATAGTAAACAATGATTCAAGATGGTCTTCTGGGGTTTGTTTTATTGCAAAAAAATGTTTTGGTGGTTCTCGGCTTCAGTAATTTAGAAACACTTAGATCAGCTTCAGCTGGAGAAAATGCACCAGAAGCACCACTACTCAAGTAAAGTGAGTCAAAACAACTGAATAGAGTCTAGCCAAGAAGATGGGTGCACTACGTAACATGGTTTGGGTGACTCCTGTGGAATTCTGTGTCTTCCGTCCTACAACTATAAAGCTCAAGAGCTGGATACGAACCAGAATGCAGACCATCCCAAGAAAACAGAATTTATCTATCCAAAACCAAGATTGTTTAACAGCATCTACCTGTGCTATTTACCTTTTCCTAGAAAATACCACTCATAAGAAAAACTTGCTAAGTCAACTCTGACAGAAATAGCGTATCAACATTACTTCAAGCATTATGTAACCGACTCATCATCTTATGTTCTGCCCGATAGATTATTTTAGAACTGGATATACCAAAACATCCAGAGCTACATTCTTTGACTCACTAGATGTTTATGTTTTATCTTAAGCTACTGACTATGAACACAACAATACATTCACCTCTTTCTTCACTATAACTGTCAGCTCTCTGGTCCTGTAAGAACACAAAAGAAATGTTACCCAAACTGTGAAAAAGAATTGCTCTATTCTAATAAAGTAAAGGTTGAAACAAGGTCTACTCTACTTCTTCATTAAAAGCGAACTTTCAGTGAAAACATCCACAGGGTAGTGACAGTAAAAAGAATGGCAACTTAAATGAAATTTTTTTTTTAAATGTTTATCAGCTATTTAGTTTTAGCTTGGTTTTCAGACTACAAGGCACCTTGTTAGGTGTTATCAGAACCAGTGTACTGATACAGCTACAGTGAAAACTCTCCTGGTGGTGTTACTGCTTATGTGAGCAAACAAACACCTTTACTGGCAGAGATAATATCCAGCACACCTTTTTTTCCCAGCATCTGCATTTACACATTGCAATTGATCATACACAAATACTGTTCAAGAAGTCACAAAGTAATAATCAACATGATTATACCATTAAAAGATGCTAGGACAGCTTTAGTTACAACAGAATGGAGGAAAAAAAATAAAGTTAATCATACATGAAAGTTATGTTTATTACAGGTCACTCACACACACACAGGCATCATGGTTAAATAACATTTTCTTTCCTTTTATGCATGTTAGCATACCTCATCAGGCAAGTCTTTGAGAACAAAATTTTCACGTAAGACCCAACTAATGACAGTATGAGCTCAACTGTTGTGTGGAAGATGATCACTGTTCATCTATATATTCACAGCAATTAGCAGTATTGCAACCATAGCGTAATTTCTAATCATAACTTTTTTCAAGTCCCGACTTCATTAATACCTTGTTCTCAAAATATGAGCCTTCTTTTCTCATAGTCTTAATGCACTCCAAGACTGCGTGAAGGCATTCAGCAAACACATTGGTTTAGTCCCCAGTTGAAACCAAACCTTTACACATTTCAAAATATTTCTCCAAATGCACATCTAACAGACATTAAAGTGTACACACAAAGACAGCCTGAGCACGGTGCATCAGTTTCTGCTACAACTTTATTTTTTAAAAGAAAGTCTGCAATCCCCTGCTTAAAAACAAAAGGAAACCCATTTTTGGCTCCCAGGCCCTGTGAGATCTAATGTGAAATGTGATAAACACCTGGCCTTGCTCTTAAAGGGTTAAGAACGAAAAAGTTTAAGCCACTTATATTTCTCCAGCTGTAAAACCAAAATATTGCCAGAGTCCTCCTGCAGCCAGGGTACTGGATAATTTAGGCTAAAATAAATGTTTATTAAAAAAGGGCGTTGATTTCTTGGCAGCGGTGAAAAGCAGGAGACACCCCTAGTGTCGACGTAAAATACTACAGGACTCCATACTGTATCTCTGGGTTAATTTTACGGCAGTAAAAGGGAAATTTAAATCGCCATGATTTAAAAAACAGAGCAACTCAAATACACACACCTGGACATACCTTCTTCCTGCAGTCTCAAAACCCACATACCTATCATATCTGAAGTGTCAGCTTTCTAAACACGGCCCAATTAAAGTATACATTATCCGGCCTGTCTCCCCGCCATGGGCTACGTGCATTATAGCTTTCCGGTCTGCACATGAACAGAAAAACGCTGCTGCACCAAGGGC